TCGCACTCATGCACACACTCACACACACACTCACACACTCACACACACACTCACACACACACACACACACACACACACACACACACACACACACATGTCTATGTGCATCAAGATGCTCACAGCCTTCCTTATCCCCTTCCTGGAAGACATAACTAGAACCCTACTCCAACCCTTTGATGAACTCAGATTTTTGCACTCCAGATCAAGCACTTTCAAATGGGAGGCTAAATTTTACATTTACTTTTTTCCTAATTTCTTCTCATCCAGGAAATTGCACGTCAGGAACAAGAATCGTTGATGTGGGGGCAGGCATCTTGCAGTGTGTCCCGTGCGGATTAGGCACCTACCAGCCTTTGAATTATCAGACGGATTGTGAACCCTGCCCAGGGCAAAGCTACACACGAGTACAGGGAGCCACCGCCCGTAGCCAGTGTGAAAGTGAGTAGTAAACTACTATGTTGCATCTTGTGTCGGAATATCCATATATTATGTTTGTAATAATTGTCTGTTTTATTTTTTAATGTCAAATGTCAAAACATAAGCAGGCTTGTAAAATTGTCTATCTTGGAGTGATATTTGTTATTTTCTATAGAATTTTCTGTGTAGGTTTGTTTGTCAGACACCATTTCAGTAATTTAATTGATATTCAATCTTTTAAACACATTTTACTTCTATTAGAAGCTTTGATGGACATCACCTAGTGTCCAGACCTTCAAGGTAACTCAATTGGTGGTTGGTGGGTGCTCTGAGGTGGTTTACTCCTTCTTTCCTATCAAATATCTATATAATTTTTATCTTTCCTCCTTTTTGTGTGTGTGTTACTCTCCAGTAACACTGCTAGTCTTTGACACTTACGTGACGTCTTTGTATTGCAAGTGCTGTAAAACTTTTACTCAAACTAAAAGTAACCAATGGTCACTTTGAAATGTATGTCAGATTATGGGTGTATAGGTATTTGAAAGGATTTTTGTCTCATTGAATAGAACAGTATACATGAAATGTGTCATTGTGTTTGATATATTTTTAAAATTATAATTTCATTTTAAAGTATGCACCTAAAGCTACCAAGGAGTGTGCGCTACAGCGAAGCGACTTTATTATTATTA